TCAGTTTAGCTGTGAGGATGCTGTGGGATGTGAAGAGAACTTTAAAAGCTCAACTGCTACTGCTTTTTGCCCGAGATGAACCTATGTGTGCTTCCTAATGCCAGGCCCTTTTTTTCACCTGAAAATGTGTGAATGAAGATAATGCAATATGGGACAAGCCTACTAAAGATCTATCGGGACTCTCTTGAGACAACCTCCTGGGTCTCCCCTAGGGAGAGGCCAGAAAGTTTTGCAAAGGGAAGAGGAGCCTACCGGCAATTTGCAGGAGCTGCCTGCCAGTTAGCTGCAGTGGGCTACCCAAGATCTGAGGACTGATGCTGTATTGCAGAATTAAAAAAAAAAAGAAGAGAACAGAAGATGAATGGACCTCTAGTAGATGTGCCCCTACTAGTTTTAAATTTACTTTGTGGTGAGGGAAGAAACTGCCTGGAAGAGACATGACTACGATCTTTGAATCTTTCTACCTGAAAGAGTGAAAGCTGTCACCTTCACATTGCAACCAATGTCCTGGCTCTTACCCCTCTCAGGACCTGACCACCACACCCCCCTTCATGGTATGACTAGGAACAACCTTCATTAAGCCCCCTTTCTGACTGTCCTCCTTCTGTCAACACTATGCAGGTGCCAAGCCTTTTCTGGGCACAATGTGCACAGTTTTTCCTCTTTTTTGAGACCATTAACAAAATAATTAAACAGGTTAGGACTTTATTATGTTAATACAAAACTTAGTAGCAATGTAAAAGTGTTGACTTGAGTTGCTCCCCTCTTGAACACAGGTGTAGAGGTGTGGAGTGTTTGTACAGCATTTAGCTCCCTGAAAGGACCAGAGGAGTGGTGAGGTTAACACTCTGCTTTATGAGCATCCTACTGCAACGTGTACTGGGAAAAAAGTGGTTTACAGAAAAAAAGAAACCAACAACCCACTCGGGTGCTTCTTGACACAGTTTTCATGGTGCTGACTTTTGCACAAGGTTGTGGCGAGTGCTGTAGACACCAGCAGTCACTGGAAACTTGAGAAAGCTGTGTGCTCCGAGTAAAGAGTATTGCAAAAACTCAATAGGAGGCAGGGGCCTGTTGACAGTTTATGTGGAAATTTCTCTAGCTTACTGGGATCCTGAGTCAACAACTGACATGTTATAATACAGTGTGGTATGAGGGTGCAGGTAAGCTTCTTCAGAAGTGAATACCCCAAAACAACTCATAACCAAAGCTGACAACCCCTTCTGAGCAGCACAACTCCTAGAGGAAACTAATCAAGACCACCCCTTTATTTGAACTTGCAGTAACCTGACACAGGATAAATGTACAGAAAAATATGCTAGGTTGTTCCATCTTTGCTCAGCTAGGCCCTAGAGACATCTAGTTGCTTCACGGCCAACAAAAAACAAACAGAGATTCCCAGTTACAATTACAGCACTCTGATCCCAAGGATTTCATATAACGTCAGAATTGTTCTGGTTGGAAGAGACCTTTAAGATCATCAAGTCCAA